AGAAATTATGAACGCATACAAAAACAAGAGAGAACCAACAAAGATTATGTTGTAGTCAGTGTTTTTCTGTTTTCTTATTTCTCTCTCTCTCTCTCATAGTAAAATAAAACATGTAGCTGTGTGTAGCTTGTGATTGCTTGGTCTGTTTTGTTTCAGGAGACGACCTGGAGTCACTCCTTTTCCATTTCTTGGATGACTGGCTCTTTAAATTTAGCGCTGACATGTTCTTCGTTCCGAGGGTAACAAGTGCCACACAATGTTTGATTTTCTGTGACGTCAATCTTCCCCGGTTTCCAATCATCTCCCCGCTCTTCCTGTTTTTCAGGAAGTCAAAGTGCTGCACATAGACCGCATGCAGTACAGAATCCGCTCTATTGGGTAAGTTCTGACTCCAGGAATACTGAGAGCCTCCTTCCCAAAAGTCATTCAGGGCTCACAGAGTTATATTAGACAAACATTCAGCAGGACACTTGACGTTTGTGTCTTGAACCGAAGTACCTCATTTCATTCGGGTCGGGTCTACATAGCAGACACAGGAAAATGTGGAAAGATTTAACTCCAAATGATGTAATCCCTACATTCTTTATTGGTTAATTCAGATTTATAGTGAAAGTGAGATTTTCACTGGGAATCTTTCATGGTGACATCTGGATGAAATGATTTCATTAGAGGGTGAGTTTCTGAGAAGATGACTAAACAACACCTGACTCAAATTTCCTGGGAAAAAAGACAGGCAATACACCGGCTATAATACAATGAAATATTTGATATTTATATTCGGTTTACAAAATAAATGATTTTGCAAGAGTACACTGATACTGTGTATTTACAAATGAATAAAATGATTTTTGCCTCTAGATTGGTGTCATTATAGGAGCTTCCTAAACATTTGGTGTAGTCAAGTTAAATTTATTTATATAGCGCTTTTCACAATAAACATTGTTTCAAGGCAGCTTTACAGAAAATCATAATGTTATTGTTTATAATATTTTAATATCTTCGTTCCTTTTAGTCTCATTAACCCTCTGGGGTCCTTCATTTCAGGGTCACACTCAGGGTCTTCGGGACCAAATGGTCCGGAAGGGTTTGATTCATATTTATTAAAAGAAAATCATATATATATTTTTTTACTTGTTTTTTATAAAAAAAATTCTTTTATTTTTTGGTGTTTTTAGAAAATTTTATGATTTATAATTAATATTTATGCAATAATTATGACTCATTTTTTCCCATTGAATATAATATAATTTTTTTATAAATATGTTTTTTTTTTTTTTTTTTTAAAGCTGTATTTCATTTTAGAGTCAAGCCTAGGCCTCATGAAAACAATTTTTGAAATGAGATGGATGCCATCTGCTGGACACACTGAGCATTTTTATCACGCAATAGCACATTTTTACCACTAGTGGATTTACAGCTCTCTGTAGAAAGGGTTCAGAATTCTTGTGAGTTTTGCACATCTTTGACAATTTTTTTCAGGTTGTTGATTTTAAAATATAATAACAGATTCTCAAAGACTATTTTTGTCTTGTTTTTTGTTTGTTTGTTTGGTTTAAATGGCAATTTGAAGTGCCAGTTTTACTTTATAATACAGATTATTATAAATATATAATACAGTGTGTGTGTGTGTGTCTGTTTTGTACTCTTGATGTTTTAGAGATTCACCCCTTCACTGTTGAGTCCTTTTTTCTGCATCCTGGCTGATTTGTAGATTGTATGCAAAAAAAAAAAACTCTGACAATTTCCCATTCATTTCCTATGGGGGTCATTTTTGACCAAAGAGCAGAAGTGTGACGACCACTTAGCATGCTTGGATCATGACCTCAATATTTTTTGTTTGTTCACATACCTAATACCATAAAAGTCACCTAGTTTCGTAACATTCCGATGAAGCTGTGATTTTTAAAAATTCAAAACATATTTATGTAATCTGAATTTTTATTAGTGTGTTTGTGTATAAAAGTGTGTGTGTGTGTGTGTGTGTGTGTGTGTGTGGATGTGTCTGTTTTGCACTCTTGATGTTTTATAGATTCACCCCTTCACTGTTGTGTGCTTTTTTTCTGGATCGTGGCTGATTTGTTGATTGTACGCACAAAACAACTCTGTATTGTCACATTTTTGTCAATTTCCCATTCATTTCCTATGGCGGGTCCATTTGGACCCGAAGACCCTGAGTGTGACCATTTTTTTTACAACCACTTAGACTATTCAAATCCTGTCCCCAATTTTTTTGGGTGTTCATATACCAAGTACCAACAAAGTCACCAAATTTCGGACCATTCCGATGAAGCTATGATTTTACACATTTTTTTATTTAAATTCTTCGGGTCCATTTGGTCCGAAGAACCCCAGAGGGTTAAGCAGTCAGGATCAAGCAGTTGAGATTTGATTCAGTAGTGGCCAAAAGTGACGTCTGGCCTAAGAAAATTCACATTTTCATCTATTCGAATATTATTAAAAATGTGTTAAAGATTTTGTGAGCATATTGCTAGTTGTGCTTGAAGTCAGTCGTTTTATTTGTGATAATGCAATAAAATTGAGCGGAGATAATTTTGGGCCTGGCGGTCATACAAAGAAATTATGAACACATGCAAAAACAAGAGAGAACCAAATAAACTATTAATAACTGATTATGTTGTAGTCCGTGTATGTTTTTCACATGAGTTTTTTTGCATAGTAAAATTATTAAAAAAAAATTGTCAAATCATTTTGTCAGATGAATACCTTAACCAAGTGTTTTGTTCTTCACTCTTATTTAAAATATTTAAAAAATATACATAAAATATTTTCCTCATATTTTGATGGTTTAATTGAACTTGTAGGGTCAACTCTAGACATCACTTTTAGCCACTACTGTATATTGCTTTTTCGTGAGTATACTGTATTTATGTGGGTAAACTTGGACATACTTATATATCCAACTTTATATAAAGAAAAATGGTGTTGTACCCTATTGGATAAAATCCTGCAACCAGTTATTATTAATGCTTTACATATTCCAGAGAATGCAGCCAAAATACAGGCTCTACCTGAGAAATGGCTCAAATGAAATTACTGTCTTCACATCCAAGTTTAAAATTTATCGGGCCCACTCCTAAAAGCTTTTAGTTGCTTCGTTGGGGTTCCCTTTCACACGACCTATATATATGACCATTGTTTCTTCTGAAATTGTGTGTAAATGATATAATGATGACGTGTGGAATAAACGAAACTTTCAGTTCTGTTTTGACAAGCCTGTGTGGTTCGTCACAGGCCTTTCATTGTGTCTCAGCCATACACGTCCACTGCTTGATTTCCTCTTGCCCTGAATAAGGCCCCACATTCCTGTATCCAGCTTTCCCAACAGTGATTTTCACTCTCTGTATTCGGAATTGGGGATTCCAGAGTCTGCTTTCTGAGAGCTATATATGTGAATGAAATTAAAATAACTTGTATTTTTTCTCCCTTTGTAATTTGTAGATGGGGTGAAGAATTCAGCATAAATAAGCACCCACAGGTACTTTCCTATAAAAACACACTTGTGCTCTAAACCACGTCTTTTTAAACAGTAGCTTATGTTGTTGCATACAGCACGGAAGCTGGAACTATGCTGGAATTTCATAATTATCCTTTAAGCTTTTAATTAATTAAGCTTGCGCCTTCCTGCAAGCTACAAAATAGAATTTCAAAATGGCCAAAGAAACATTAAAATGATCACAAAATCACTTGATTGTGCAGAAAGCATGCATAAAACCTAACCACTCTTCTAGCTGATCTCAACCACGATGCATGATTGGATATTTCTTTGGTTGTTTGCATTTCTACAACACTGAACCAGATAAAGCTCATACGAGTCTTTCTAACTACATAATACTGTTGTTCCAGGTGTTCTACATTATTTAACCTGTGAAAGTGTTTGTGAACATGTTCTACATTTATTCATTCGAGCAATCCTTTTATATTGACTAAATCGAGCAAGTCTTAAAAAACACCGGTGAATGACCACTGTCTGGGTTACTCAAGCATACATTCAAATGTCCTATGGTGCATAAATTACACATTTAAACATCGCATCAGATTCCAAAGATTTTAAAGCTTTTATTTTCTTGTTTCGCAGGGTACAGAAGTGAAAGCAATCACCTACTCTGCTATGCAGGTACATGATACAGAAAAGCCAGATATCTTCGTCATCATCGATATTTAAATGTACAACTGATTCAAAACCTCTTTTTAACTGATATGATTTGAAGAGATTGCCTTAGTTGGAATGGACATGTGAGAGGTGTCGTTTCTGTAAACTGTGGATTACATCGCTGAAATACTATATATTTTTGACTGATTTTCATGATTAATAATGATATTTAAAAAATCCTTTTATTTTGTGAAAACACAAACATGACCCAAAATAAATACTGTCATTTAAAATGACTTAAACATCAAGGCTAAGGCTAATCAAGCGTATTTTTGTACTAAATTTTAAAAAATAAAATACATCTCATCAATCTCATTATATTCTGTTCATTTTAATGTTATGGTGAAAGTAAACCTCTCCAGTGATGTGTGTGTGTGAAACCCTTTGACATCAGCAGCTACAATGACTTTAAGTGATTTGCCATCAATATACAGAAACAAACTTTTGTACAGTCAATGTTTTTAAATATATCAGTCTTAAAGCTGAAGTGTGTCATAACTCATGCAATGGGTTGAGCTAGTGTTCAGGCATTGCTAGATATTGTAATTGCATTACTTAGGGACACCTTTTTCCATTAACGGCCATTTTAAAAGTAGCCATGAATTCACAGAATTCTTTTTTAGAATATTCTTGATTCTTTTTATGAAAGCTAAAAAGCCTGAAATGACCCCTTTTTCAGGTTGTACTTCAAAGTCACTAGTGAAGGATTTGGGAGTGCAAGCTAAACTAATGGATTCCAACTGCAACAAAAATCACACACTTCAACTTTAATGGTTTCTTGTTCTTCTCTTCCAAATATGGTTAACTTTAAATTGAAGAATAAAAGCTATTCATAGGAATGACGAGTCCAGTAACAAAGTCATCTCTGCTTGGCACGGCAGTATAACCATAACAGAAGGCCTGTTGAACACAGGAGGAGAGTACACAATATAGACAGAGCCACGACGGATGTTCCGGAGTTCATGTTCTCATCTGAAATAAAAGAAAGGCAAGAGGAACAAATGACTCCACGGTATTCATTTCCAACTCCTTACAGTCAACATAAAATTGAGCAATTTTACTTCTATAATGACGTTTCAAACAGAATATTCAGTCATATTTAACATTGTAAGTGAAAATATTTTTTTCCTTTGAAATATTGTGCACTGATGAATCAAATTAAAAAAATTCAATTCCATGTCGAGTTTAACCTCTTCCGCTACGTCATTATATTTACACATTATATTTACCCATATATGGTATCATTTGAAATCTTATATTTACACAGAATATAATGACATTTGTTGTATGTATGGAACACAAAGAAGTAATATGAAGCTTAAAGGGGAAATGAAGCAGTCAATCAAGTTTACATGATTTACAAGATGGATTTCCACTATAATCAACAATTATATAAGAAACATCACGTTTACATTTGACATGTTTCTTATATAATTGTTGATTATAGTGGAAATCCATCTTGTAAATCATGTAAACTTGATTGACTGCTTCATTTCCCTTTTAAATATACAATCGTCAGAAAAAAAACTCCTCCCCCTAATAGCATGAATATGTATTTTTTTATGTATTTCACAAAACCGAAAAGTCATATATCAAAAGAAAGCTCTCATTCTCAGGAATGTGACTGTGTAGTTTGTTTTATTGTTTAAACGTCATAGTTAAAATTATCTTCAAAAGAACCGCCCAGTAAAATATGATTACTGTGAAATAACAAAGACACACGTCTCATTTCTACTTCGATTACAGTCGTTCCAAGCTAAAAATCAGTCACAAACTCTACATCATCTTTTATCTTAAGATGTTTTCTTTCAAATTAGCCCATTTGTACTTTTCTGAGAGCTCTTATTGGTAAATAATCCACTGTTATGTCACAGATGTCCATAACACAAAACGCGCTGAACGGAGAAACACACGATCCACATCATCATCAAAAACGTGCAATATTTTTCAGGATTCTTGGATGAATAGAAAGTTCAAAGAGCAACATTTTAAAAAAATTGTTACAATGTAAAAGTTTTAACAGGTACTTTATCAATTTAATGCATCCTTGTAGAAAAAATTATTATATCCCAACTTTCATATCCCTGCCAATTTCTAATATTTCAGTAAGTTTTGCATAATAAAACAGTTTCAATGGAAGAAGTGAAATTATCTACGTCAAAACATGGCAAATCCTCAAGCTTTGTGCAACTCCTCCCTCGCACTGACCGAATGTCTATGGGATGACTGAATAAGTCTGGCATTGCAAAAGTCTGCATACACAATCAGCTGCACATCTGCTCTAAACTGACAAACAGCCTTTTGTGTCTCGATCACTTGCAATTTGACCTAGTAGACACTGTGACTTTTATTCTTACAATGACTGGTGGTTTGGGAACTAGGTTATTTTTAAAAAAAAAACACCCGATACAACAAATGTTTTTATAGGGTGATACTTATTCAATATTGTCCCAGGGGAAAAAGAATGTGCAATGGAAATATAAACCTATTCAATCAGACAATGAAGGAATGATTCTCAGTCCAATCTCAATCTACTCTCCAGAACTCACTCACACACACACACAAATTGTGTTTTCGTGTTTTATGGGGATTTTCCAAAGATATAATTATTTTTATATTGGACAAACTGTATATGCTGTTCCCTAACACTAACTACCCCTAAACCTACTCATCACAGAACATTTTAAGCATTTTTTATATTTTAAAAAAACATCACTTAGCTGCTTTCCTCATGAGGACCAAAAAACGCCCACATTTTTACCCCATAATGGAGGGTTTACCGGGACCACACACACAACAAAGGGCCTATTTACTCCTGGTCACATCATGCATTTTCTGTGATTGGATCAGATCATGAAATGCCTGTGTAAATAGGTGTAAATGCCCTCTGAAACGCTTTCGAGGTTTAAATACAATCCCTCAAGCACTTCAGGAGGTGGTAACTTGGCACATTCCAAACGAAACTGGACATAAAAACTGGGCCAGCTGTCACACATCATCCTAAATGGTACATAAAAGTACCTTAAAGGTATTAGTATTTTAAGTGTACATTAAGTGTACATAATAGTACTTTAAGTGTACATTAGTGAAGCTACATGTGTAATTTTCCCTAATTCTCCCAAAATGGTCAAAGAATATAAACATGTGAGAGCGTGTTATACTGGCAGACAGTGCATCTAGGCCTATTACAACACACATCGCCACAGATATGTCTTTCCTCAGCAAGCACGCAGACACACCTTTGGTGTCAGATCCTGAAAGCTCAACATTAAAAGTGGTGAGTGCTATATTCTCTCCCCAGTGATGACACAGCTCTCTCTCCCATTGCATTTTTGATTTTGAAATAAGCTGATGACAAATAAATTGCAGCGCATATCGGTTGCTTTTGGTGACAAGAACTCTGTTGAATTTGCATAGCCTATAGTGTAAGAAAAAACAACTAAAAGCCAAGTATACTTAGAATACTTAATTATACTTTTAAGTATATCTCGATCAAAAGATTGAGTACAAGAATAGGCCAAATATAATTAGAGCTTTCTGTCAGTATAAGTCAAGTACTTAAGTGCAATTTTAAGTATATTTCTGAGAAGTACATACATTTAGAGTGTAAATATCCTTTCTTATTTTTAGTTTAACATAAGTATACAATAATAGCACACTTGAATAAACTTTTGAATAAACAAATGCTGGTGGAGGAAAAGTTTTTTTAAAAAATATGCTTCCCACTGTCCGCATCCAAACCCCTGGTGTGTTCCCACCCATTACTTTCAGACAGATTCCTCTGGCGTCGACAGTTATTCCTGTTGAATGTGGTTCCCCCTCTTATGTGGTATTAGGCCAATATGCTGACATTATCCTGGATACCAGAGCAGCTGATACAACACTTTCTGCCCTGGTCACAGATGTGCCAACCAGGGGCGGATCTAGGAAAATATTTATGGGGTGGCAAGAGGGGGGCAGGAATTTTTGAGGGGTGGCAACATGGCAGACGTATATATACTGAATTTAATCACAGTTAACACAGTTTGATGAGAAATCGTATGTGTAACACACTACAAAAGGGCATTATTTGTATCTGTTTTGTGTGTGTGTGTGGGGGGGGGTTGGGGGTTGAACTATACTCAGTTGAACTATACTCCACAGTGATGAATCCTAAAACAAGCTATAAGGTGCATACCGGTTTTTCCCATGGAAATCTGTGGTGAGTGCAGAGTGCACCTCTGTCCCTCTAGGGGGGTTCGGGGGCATGCTCCCCCGTAAGAAAATTTTGTGCTTTTTAATGTTAAATTCATCAATCTGGTGCACTTTGAGAGTTCAAAATAAAGAGCTCCAACCCATATTCAGTGTGCAAATTGAACAAAAAAAAAACTCAAAACTCTTTTTAGTTGTGATATAGTGTCTGTCTACATTACACTACTATATAATAATAGTTATAATATTAAATAAAATACCCTGTGAACATTCACACGTTTGCTTTATCATAGGCTAAAATTTATCTCCATAAATATTAAATAATATTTTCTTAATTCTGCGCATGTATTTTTACTTACTTACATCAATTGCTCGATCAATATTATTATCACATATTTTACATTTATATTTTTAACTGTACACAAACAACTTAATATAGCTAAGTTTGTGTATATTTTACACGTAGTAAAATACTGTAGGCTACTGCTTATAAACACCAGACAGATAATGATATATGAAACAGATGTTCTTTACTCATCTCACTTGCACAAAATAAATGCAGTAATATAAAGCATAGAAACGCACAGGTGAAATACACTGAAAATGATATATGCATTTAAAAATTTGGTCGGGTTGAAAACTTATCTCTCTGGTAATGGAACTCGGTCGCTGTTGTCTCTTGCTCTCGCTGTCTCCCGCTCTCGCGGTCAGATCACCGGAAGTATTTGCCCACACAATAAAGTACGAACGTCAACGGTCGTCATATTATGCACGGAGCGAATTCACTGCAGTCGGACATTGGAGATTCGCGTTCGTAAATTGTCAAATTGGCCATAACTTTTAATTCGTTGCCGCCAACTGGGGTGGCAGCAGGGGTGGCAAGGCTTTCTTTTAGGGTGGCATTTGCCACCCTATGCCACCCCGGTAGATCCGCCCCTGGTGCCAACAATTTGTCCTCTTTTGAACTCTGATACTATGAAGGTAATAAGATGCCATAAAGAATCACATGCGCAGGGTAAGATTTGTGAAATTGTACATAAGATTGCAAGCGTAAATTAAATTTTGCATGCGCAAGAGAAGAATTGTTAAGATGTAAATCGCCTTTCAAGTGTAAGAAAAAAATATTTGCAGCATTAACTGTTATTGTAATAAGTGTAATTTGTGTATTTTGAAGTTGCAGCTTCATGCTGACGCAAAATAAATATGATCTGTATTCTTCTGACTTTCCGGGCTTACACTTTTGGCACGGTTTTTGCGCACAAATGCGGCCAAAAGCATTTCAAGCCTGTGAACAGCAATTTGCAAGCGAAAAAACAACAGAGGCAGGAACTGCAAAACAGATGAATTGCGTAAAATTAAACTTTGTGTAAAAAGATAAACTGTTGCAAATGTCTAAATGGCTTCTTGTGTGCATGGGACAAAAAAGTTCCCGAAATAACCCGATTTGTACAGGCGCGTCTTTCTTTTAGCTGCGCTTCCAGTTTTGGCACGATTCTCTCACTCACTGAGATATGAAAGCGGGAAGAGGAGGGCGGGTCCACCTTCATCATGTAGCCAATCAAATGAGCTTCTCACTGACTCTCAATTTACTCTTATCTGATTGGTTCAATAAACACGCCAGTCACCGGAACACATCTTTATCTTCATTTGGCTCAGAAACGCTCTCATTGCCGAAATGGTACTTTTAATGCACACATAGCCTACATGTTAAATAAATAAATGAACAAATGAATAAAAAATAAATATATAAATAAATCATGATTGCTTAATAAGCTGTGCAC